ATTCTGTTTGGTTTTGGATATCTAGAAATACCCCAGGCCTCACTTGGTTTCTGTCTCTTCTGTATTGTCTGGAAGAGCATAAAGCTCACAGAAGTTACCAGTTAGGTATTAAGGAATTTAATAAAATGCCTTTTCTGAACCTACTGATTTTGTTTATAACCAGGCAGTTTGTATTCTTATTTTCTTATATATTCTTTAAAAATGCAATGCATGTTAACCAGTCACTCTGGCTTGAATCTCTAAGCAAAAATGGAGACTTTGATCAGGAAATGTTTTCCCTGATTTTTTTTTTTCCCCCTAATTGCATATTAATACCAGGGGATATTAATGGTGGTCTTTAAATATAAACTTTTAAGTACTGTTTGTCTTTTCAGAACTTTTATGATCTTGACATTCTCCCCCAAAGAATTAGAAAATTAAATATTCTGCTCTTAATAGATGTGAGATGGAGGGATTCAAATTCTAAAAACGACATATTGTATAATATTTCATTGTCATAGTTCTAAACAGAAAAGATTAAAATATGATACATTTAAAGAATAAATATTTAACCAGGGTTTTTCTTGTTGTTCAGGTTTTTTTAGTGAAGAATATGTGTACATATATATACAGTATATACAAAAAACCCACCACCCTCAGATTTTTTGGAAGAGTGCAAGACAGATATCATTTTGGATAAGTATTTAAAAAATCCAGCCACTAACTATATTTACTCTGTACTTCACTCGTGGTTCTGGCAGAATTACTTGTTTTTTAAATTAGTGGCATCCCCCCCCCCCCCCCCATCCGGGATTAGGCTCTTGGTAGAAAAAAGAAATTAAAGGGTGTAGTAGGTAGAATGCCTGATTTCTTAAAGCTTTTATTAGGGAGAATTAATTTTACTTGCAAAGTTCATTCACATTGGCTTGGCAGTGGGCACTGCTGAAAACAGATCAAAGAACTAGCTATAAACAAAGGTTAACAGTAAGATGCTGGAGGAGCTAAATGAGGAAACAATGGTTAGAAGGTGTTGAAGGAGTTGGTTGGTGTTAAATTAGTCAGCACGTAGTCTTAATTAATCTAAACCAAGAAATAAACAGCATTTTAATTACATTTATGAACTGGCAAGAAATTCAAGCTGCTCTGAAGACAAATAATTAGAAGATCTAGCATGTATGGGGAAACAGTTCATTGAATTAAATTTAGTCTAATGCAGAGTTCTACTCAAAGGGAAATGAGTGGAGGAAAAATTTTAGAAAACAGTGCAGTAAACCCTGAAAAAGGATTAGGACTGGATATATCATCTTTTATTGCACTGTGGTTTTGTTGCAAGCTTTTATCGTATTTTGCTTGCTGAAAACAGTTGTTGGAGGAATGACCAAAGCATTACATCATGGAAATTGCAGCTAGAACAGCGAGCCAGAAAAGTATCTACAGGCCCCGTTGCAGGCAGTGTATCGAGATGTGGCTGAATAAAACAGCTTGCAAAGAAGGGAGGAAACGCTATAGAGAATACTCAAGTGCTAGGATGGTTAAGGCTTTCTGCCTTTTTAACTTCTTTAGGTGGTACTTATAATGAAATTGGTATCTGCTTTTTTGTGGTTGTTTTTTTGTTTTTTTTTTTCACGCGGATATGAAAGGACTCACTTCTGTCCTATCAGAGCCAAGGTGTTGAGTTTCAGGTAGTAGTAAGATCCTTCAGAGAATGACCATCTATTTAATTTTATAAGCAACGTTCTGTACTGAGTGTTACTTCTCACATACTTGTATTCTCATTCTTCATGCTTTTTAATGTACTCCTTTTTAATAGTACAATCCATTCATTTAAGTACAAATGAAATATTTATCCAAAAGCTAAACACTGCAAGTTCAAATATGTACCTCTGGATCGCTCAGATATCAATAACTTCACTACTTTGTGTTACTGTACTCTCGTTAACATCCTGCTTATATCACAGGGTTTTGATTAGAAAAACTGAAGCTTTTTGTTTCTTTTGTGGTGCATCTCTACCAGGTAAACCAGCCTTAAGAACAATAAAAAAAGGAATTTGTTTGTATGTTCTATTAAATGTTTCCTTAAAACAGTTACCTAGGTTTCTGTTTTCAACTTAAGTTCTGTAATGGTGTTGGCATTGCAGATACCTCAGTATTGTCCTGGTGTGTGGAAACACTGGCTCTTGTGTATACTTCACAGCTGGTGAAATGCAAGAACTGTGTATACAAACAAGCTCAATTTTAATATTCCTTTGATTTTTTTAAAATGTTTTCTATCAGCTATTAACATTCCTTTTTTTTTTCCCCCGAATCCTCTCAAAATAATTTTCTAGGTTGTCTTTAACAAGAAGTGGAGAAAAGCAAATAAAAAAAAAAAAAGCTGGCTGCTGATAGACACAGGGAATCTTCTATTCAACCTTCCAGCTTAATCTTGTGGTATAAAAATTATGCATCTTTGACAGATCTTACAAAGCTTAGCTACAGCTTAATTTACAATCTTATTGCCAATATGTAGTGCTAATTGAGGTATGACACAATGTGTGGTCATCTGAACCTAAAACTTGCTGTTAGTTTAAATGTCAAAAGCATATTTAGAGTTAGCCAGTCAGCTTCTTTCCTCCTGTGTCCCTCTATGATTGGGGGGGGAAATCACTATTATTTGTGTCCTTAATTGCTTTTTTATTTTATCCATCTTGTCTCTTGCAGGCATCCATACACTATCAGGCACAGCAGGCCTATAGGGACTACTTTATGAGTATAATACAGGCATATGATGGAGTACAACTGAAGAATTACTGAGGTTGGAGTACTGCCCTTGTCAAGTGATTCAGTGCTTGCATTGGTCTTTGATTTTGCTGCACAAAACTTGCAGTGTGGACAGTCCCGCTCCTGACAGTTTACGATGCAAGGCACAGTATCCAGGGAGCATTTTAATGTGACTGGGGTGTCATGTGAAATACAGTGAGCCATAGCATTACGTCATGTGGAAAAACATGCCAAGGGGATGGGTTACTTATACTTAGTACGTTTGGTTGCTTTGAAACCAGAGGTCCTTCAGTAATTTGTCACCAGGACAAAAGATGGGGGGTGGGTTCTTGTGGAAGAGTTAGGGACAAGGACTTTAAGGTTTTGGTGGTATCTACATAGAAGTCCTGTGACTTTCAGGTACTAGTGCAGACAGTCACCGCTTGTGGCATGCCAAGTTTCTTGGCTCAAATCCATTCGCATACAAATCTCTCTGCTCCCTAGGGAGAGGGGAAAGTACTGCAAAAACTAGCATGAAGATCCATATCAGCTGGGGCTCACTGGAATGTCTAAGCAGGACTCACAGAAGGGAAGATACGTTTCTGTTCCTCTTTTAACAAATATGCTGTAGCCACATCTGACATGTTTTTGGTGTGTCTATCAGCTTAAAGAGTCCCAGGCTGCTTGCAACTGCCCCGTGCCACTTCATTCTGTTGTACTGGCTCAATTGTTTGTGCAGCTGTGCAGTAAAATGATTCTGCTGGAGCAGGGAAGACTATATATTTATAATTTGTATATATATTTATAATGTTTATGAATTTGTTTAAGCAGCAGGCTATTTTTCAGCTGGATCAATTACCTTATTCATGACATGGCCTCCCACGCAGCTCTGCCAGCATACTGGGGAGCCAAGGCCCTGGGAGGATGAGCGCAGCCTCCAAACACCTGGACTTGTAGCGATTGCAGGGAGCAGGTCTGAAATGGAAATGAGAGCGTGTCAGAACCCCTTGCTGCTTATTCACACCTCGGAGATTACTACTGTGCATGTCCCTCCGTGGAGAAAGTTATGTGGCCTTCAGAATTGCTGTTGGATTTTCTAAGTTGAGAGGGAATGCTGAGCTAAATCGTTAACTTAATTGAAGTATGTTGTGTAACATATCATAGTAGCATACAGTGGTTGTGGTTGCATTAAGAGTATTTCAATATAATTTTTTTTCCCCTTGAAGTTAGCCTCATGAGCAGTTTTTAAAATCTGTTGTCAAGCAATAATATTGGCATCTAAAATCAGGCTGCCATGTCTATCAGAAGTGTAGGAGACTTGTCTTTCACTACCGCTAAAGAGAATGGGGTAGATTACGGTGTGTTAGCTGCGCAGTGTTGCAGGGTGAGAGTTTGCTCCTGGGCAATTACTGCAAGGCTATTGGCATGGGGCAATGCCATCTTGTGATGATTTAGCCCTGTTTCAAAGCTCTGTGGTTCCTAAAAGTGAAGCAGGGTAAAACAGCCCGATGGTGGAGTGTCAGTCAGCTGCGTTTTGTTTACGGTGAGTTTTTTAGCCTGGCTTCTGAAGTAAATGATTCATGCCGTCTTTCTGTCCCTACCCCTGTTAAGGCTTGAGCCTCTTGGCCACCCTGAGGAAAAGAATATCAAATCTGAGAGACCTTCCATATAAATAGGTGCCCAGGACGGGAAGGATGCTATTCGAGTTGCCTCCTAGGGAAAGGGTGCAGCGCAAAGTTTGTTAGACTTGAGAAAATTCGTACAGGAGAAACAGATGTTACGAATTTGTGGACTACAGAGAAGCTATACCCAGAGCTTGTACCCTATCGTGAGCTGACGAGGGAAGTTGTAGGAAGTAAGACGGCATTACTGACAGGGATCATGGAACTGCTTGGTTTTGTTTTCCTTATGCTTTTTGATGCTCCCAGCATCGCTCCATCAAGCTGTAGCAACTCTTTAGTAACCAAACTGAAAGGCTTTTAAGAATGCAAACCTGAAACAATCCTGCAGGCGGCTGGTGAGGCTGCAGTAGCGTAGGGAGCAGTCAGGCTCCATTTTGGATGCCTGACTCGGTTGCTATTCCGAGTTGCTCTACGCTGCGCAGTGCCGCTTAACTTCCCGCTGTTTTCTAGCTACTTAGATGATCAGTCCTCGGCTTTTTTTAAACCGGCTGCTTTTGTGGCATGCTTCCTTTCTGTCAGGAGAGCACACAGTAACAAAGGCATGTTTTATTCTCTGGCGGGGGGTTGAAGAGTGTCTCTCTGTAAGTCTGTTAGAGCCCAATGCCAGGAGAAGGCAGCGGTCAACTGCTGCGAACTAGCCGGGCTTTTTCTCTGCTCCAGACCATGTCTAACTCCGAGACATTCTGTGTCAAAATCTGGGTGGAGGTTTGGGTTAGGACTGAAATCGAAAGACAAAGGAAAGGATAACTAGCCTGCTCCTTTACTGACTGAAAAAAGAAACAGCAACCAAATTGCCTTCTCTGCTGCCTGTTAAATGCCTTTTTGAAACACATGCCGTTCTTGCAGTTCTTTAACTGCTGCTGCTCCTTGCTGTTTTTCCAGGAATCGCTTGCTCCTAGGTGGAAACCCAGTCATTTGCAAAATGTGAAGTAATACATCTTGAGTTGTAAACAAAAGGCAGAAGCGTGATTGCCCCCTCTTCTCCCCCTCCTCCCCCCACCTTGGGTGGTTAAACTAACATTTCTCTAGTACCTCTGGAAGACTAGTATTAGAGGTGGTCGGGCTGATACTTTGCTCTTGTGAAGAAACATGTTTGTCCCTAGCTTTCCTGTCAATGTCTTGGTGTTTTACTGATTTTTGCTGTTCTGACGGAGGAGATGAGGGAAAGATACTGTTAAAGCTTCCAGCTGAGTGAGCCTAAGGCACAAAAGGAGGAAATGAGGTAAAGAAATCACTCATCTCAGTAATGCTGTGCTTTTTTGGTTCATCTTATCACATCTCATTACTAGTTAAGTTCATGTTTGGGAAGAAAGGTGTTAAATTTCTTGGGCATTTCAAAAGCCCTAGTAGAGCAAACCTAAGATTTCCAGTCCAGTTGTGCTACCAACTGCTGATTAGATGGAGCTCCCACTGGAGCCTGTGGATGCTTTAGTTAATTGGCTAGAGGGACCGCTGAGGGATGCTGTGTGATATGATATGTATGTACCTGGTGATGATCAGTCCTTGTGTTCTTGCTTGGAAAATCTAGAATGGCTTTGGTACAATGCTGCTTGTAAATACTAATGTAAATGTGCCAGGCTGCTTTAAACTGGTGCAACGTATAGAAAGAAGAATCTTCACCATACTCTTTGTTTTGCTGTTGCCTGGATGCTTTTAAGTCTGTAATAAAAACACTGACTTAATATTTTCTTTCAGTCTCCAGAGGGTGCTGAAGGCAAGGATGCAGCAAAAGTAACTAAACAAGAGGCAAGTGTATTTTTTTTTTTTTTTTAATTTATTGTGGCATGTAATTATTTAACTGGAGATCTGCAGTCTTGCATATCAGAAGACTGCCTTGCTTTGGCACTTCTAGTGAGGTGTTTTCAGAGGGAATAATGACAGTAAACCACATTTGTAGCTTATCTGGCATAATTTCGTTTTGGTGCACTGAGGATTCATACAACTTAGTAGTACACAAAATAAATTTCAGAAACACTTAGGGCTTTGATAGACAAGCTCTGGTGGATCTTGTGGCAACAGTCTCTAGCGGGTTGGCAGAAGAGGGTTAATGCACACACCTCAGCCAGTCTACTTCAAAACTATTAATGATGGAAGGGTGTCTTGAATTAAGATACCAGGCTGTAAACTCCAGCAGCTGACAATTGTGTGTTTTCTTTGTCTGAATTTAAGGGCACAGTAACTTCTGTCAGAGAAGGCAAGGAGATAGCTGGTGATACCTTGACCTTTACAGTAAAGTTTGCTAGTGTGTCATAGCCCTTAATGAAAATTTAAAAAACAGGTAGAGAATTCTGAGGATTCATTTTCTTAGGTTGTCATCTCTTGTGGCAGGCAAAGTTAAATCAGGAACTTGAAAAGAATAGGTGAATATTCAAATAAATTAACAATTAATTGCTCTTCTTGTAAATCTTTGAGCACATTTGAGCAGAAAAAACAGTCTAATGAAATTTTACACTTTCTGAATTGAGAAGTTGGTTGTTGCTCTGGCAGAAAAAGATGGTACAGTGGAAATGTCAAAATATTTCAAACAATAGTATTGTTTACAATAAGCTCCTGAAAGAAACAGGTGGAGTAGAAAGGAGGTCTGAGAGGAATGGATTTTGATACTTCAGTATCTTCCTATGGAATTTCCTAGAAGACAAATTAGTTTCTTCTTCATAAAGTATGAAAAGGCTGACTAAATCATAGTAAAAATATAATCTCCTTTGCTCTGAATGAATGTTTTTCTCTGTCCAAGTTTAAATATTATTTCTTCAAGAGCCAGAAAAGTGAAAGTTTCTTTCCCTAAAAATCTGAGACCTGATTGCTACCATAAAGAAAAAAACCCAAAAAGCTTACAGAAATACACAGGCTCTCTGGGGGGAGCCTGCTGACTCTGAAATATGAGGGCTCTTAGAGTAGTCTTCAGTCAAGGTGAGATAATAGTCGCTGTTGATGCTACAGAAAAAAAACCCCACAACATTAAGATAGTCTCAGTAGATACACCTGTAGCTCTTAGTGTGAGGATGAGGAAAATAGTTGTAGAATTAGATTAGAGACTGTGGGAGCTCTTGGAATAGGTGGAACTTCTGTAGGAAGAGTGGCTTCAGTCTGAACCGAGAGACCTATGTGGATGGCACTGAGGAGATCTTCTGAATTATTTTAAATTAAACATCTGAGGGGAGACTGGCAAGTTCCTTAGAGCACATAGGATGAAGTCAGAGCTCCCGATCTGGGTGGGGGGCTAGCACAGAAGCCATAAAAGTTTGCATCTGAAAAGGTAGAGAGCAGTGTTGAGAAATAAAGCCCTGTTTAATTCATGCCTATGAAAACAGTTGAGCCAAAATTCAAAAGCTGCAAATCTAAATCTGGGCAACTTGGACTATCTGGCTTTAAATGAGGACATTGATAAAATGAGCAACTCAGAAATTTGTTGGGAGACTGTGATGCCATGGCACAAATTATACAGGGTTGAGAGCTAAGTTGCATTAGTGGTAGAATGGCTTTCTGGTATGGGTCTTTAATATTTTTCTAGATTAATTGTATCAACAAGTACAGCAGAATCCTTTATGGATTGCCAAGCCATGTGTAAATGGGAAGTATATAGTGTAGAAGTTGTGCCAGGTGTCATCTGACCACAATAATAGAAGTGGCAGTGGGATGTTAAGGGAGATCAGAGAGGCTCTGAGGACAGAAACAGTGTTGATGGAGATTTCAGTTACCCTTCAGAGATTTGGTAAAAGGCATGGGATGGCATTACAAAGGCAAAAAAGTTAAAACTATAAATGCTTGCTTCCTGGAGGAACAAATCAAAGGACCAGTGAAAGGTTAATCAGCTCTTTATTTGGTCCTTGGTAGTATGTAGGAGCTAGTTAAAAAGACAGTTATCAGAGAACTATTCTGTAATTATGACTGTAATATATTCAGGTTCATCGTTCTTGCAGGAATGTAAGTGCAAATAAACTCTGTTATGGTAAGATTTGATATCAAGAAAGGGAATTTTATTAAAAATGAGAGCCTGTTAAAAGGAGCAGCTAAAAAGTTTAGTGGTTTCGGGTGGCAGAGAGGCTTTGTGGTATACCATGCTAGAGGCTTCCAGAAGTGTGTAAATGTGTATTTATTTTTCAAAAGCACCCCACCCCAAAAAACCCCCAGCAAAACCCCACCAACGCTCAGAATGGCTTAATAGCAAAATAAGGGAAATTTATTATTTTTGAAAGGTGTTTTTTGTGTTGATGGGAAATAATGAGGAAAGTCACAAACCTTCCAGCATGGCAAATGTGAAGCTGAAAAATGGTAATGAAACTCCTGCTAGGGAGAATTCTTAGGGAGGTTCTCACAGTGGAGTCTTTTCTCATGGGTGTAGAGTCTGGAGGACATCCTTTAACTGAGTGTGAGTGAGAACTAGACAGTATTCACCAGCAATTGCCAAACTGTTAAGTGCAGTATGCAATTTACTGCTTGCATTGACCTCAGTACTAGAGTAACTGAAGGTGATGAAATGCTTCCAGGACTTTAGATAAGGGATTCTTCTGGAGGATAAAGCCTGTGAGTCTAGCTTGCAAAAGTAGTTTTAAAAAAAAAAAAAAAGTAGATGGAGACAAATGTATAATGGGAGAGTCAACATTCATTTGGCAGAGAGAAGTCATACTTCAGGCAGTTGAGTTCTGTGTAGAAGTCAACAGGTGTAAGAATGATAGTATGCCAGTTGATATAGTTGACTTGCATGTAAAGAACACTTTTTTATAAGGCTCCCCAAGCAGGTTCTTAAACTAAGCTAGCATAGACTAAAGGATAGATCTTCCTAAGAATTGGTAACAGGTAGAGATATGATAAGAGAGTAGGGAAGTAGTAGTTAACTTTCATAATGGAGGAGAATTATCAGTGGAGTATTGGAAGGATTTGTGTTTGGGCTCGTGCTGCTGAATATATTCATTAATCATCTAGAAGAGGTACTAGAAAAATGACAAAATTTGCTGAAGTTTATGAAAAATTGTCAGGGTAGTCAAGTGAGAGAGACTGAGAAGGCTGTTACGTCACTGATAACTAGGTGATAAAATACCAACACAAATTCAATATGGAGAAATGCAAATTAATACATGGGGAGGGGAAGACAGTGATGGTCATCAAATCAGCTGTTAATTGGGGAGAGACTGCGAAATCACTGTGAATAGTTACTAGAAAATGTCAGTTCTTCTAAACAAAAGGTAACAAGAATATAGGAGAAAATACTAGAGGACAGAGTGTGAAACATCAGTTTATCAGAAGATTAATTTGTTGTGCACCCAGATGTGGGACTATTAAATGAAGTTCTCCTGACTCTTCCTTAAAAAGGCTGTGATAGAATGAGAAGGACACCAAGTATAGTAGAGCAAACAGAGGATGCAGCTTAAAAAAACCAAAAAAAACCAAACCAAAACCGAAAAAAAACCCCAAACCCCCAAACAGTCTGGATTTTCTAGGATTCTTGACTTTTTATATAATGGAGGCATGATAAAATCATCAGTAACACAGAGAAAGGCAGTCAGGGAATTATTACTCATGTAACCTGAAAACAAAAGGAATCTAGTGAAAGTAAGAGGCAAGATGTTTAAAGGAAAAGCAACAGAAGGGGAAGGTTTTGCTTTTTGTTTTCCATGCAGTGCATAATCCTATTATGGAACTCAGTGCATCATCACAGGATGTTATGGAAACTGAACGTATAAATGGGTTCACTAGGTTATTAGACAAATTTATAGAGAAATTCCAATTTATGGAAAAAATGAGCTATGGGGACTATTAAACACATGATGTGGGTATAATATCTAGGTTGGAAAGTTCGCAACTGTAGATTGCCAGAAGCTGGTGCAGTAGAAAAGTGCAAAGCATTGTTCTGTGTCTGCTCTGTTTCATAGACTCTTTCTGTAGATGTTTGCTAGTGGGGCAGTGCCAAATGGACTGTTGGGTGAGCTGCTAGTTTCTGGGTTAGTACAGCTGTTTGGAGGGGGACAAGGGTTGCAAAAGCATGTTAAAATGTGACCTTTGCTGACTTCACTGCAGTTCCTCCCTTATAATCAGATAACATGAAATACATACAAACTCTGAATGAGAATTAAAATGACCTACCCATCAGGCATTTTTAAGGAACTGAGGGTTTATGCTGTCTTTCTTATGGCAATACAAGCCTTCTGTGAAACCAGTCGTGGAACAGGAACAGTTGGGGATTATGGGAGGGAATTATAATTTATCTAAAACACCATATTATCTTTTAAAAAGTAGAGCTAGCATAACATTGCTATGCCCAAATGCTGAGGGATAGAAATTATCAGTTAAGAAAACAGATTTGTAGTTAGGAGTTCTTTGATTACCTGACCAAGTGAAATGCTTTATTTAACCTGTTGTAAAATAGCGCTAGGCTGCTTAACAACCAGTTGATATATTAAATTGCCAAGAAAAGAGATTTGCCTTTTTTTTTTTGTTAATGATGCATAAATATTTGATAGCTGAAAATATCTTCAGGTGTTTTTTGACAAGACTTCTATTTTGCTGGACGCAGACCTGAACTGTTCACTACTGCTTTCCACTAAGAATAGTTAAATGGCTCCAATGAATACAAATTACTGCATTCCTCAGATATTAACGACAGCTTTTTCCTGTTGCAAGATGTGTGGAGCCATGTTTTTTCAGCTCAACTTAAATGCTTAATATGTAATTAAGAAGATATTTTTGATTCACATTTTAAGCTGTGTTACATTGGATATTTGTTGCAGTTGAGTTGTCCCTTTATTTTGGCTACAAGTGTGATTCCAGTTTTATGACATAGACCAAACTTTAACTCTGATAACCATGCTGTGTAACTGGATCATGGGTTCATCTGTTTTAATGAATAGAAAAATATTGTGAACAAACTAATGAGCTTACAACTATTTCTAAGACTTAATTCATCTTCAGTAATAAATTTATCACAAAGAACAGAGTGAAATAAAATTTAATAAGGACAATGTGTTGCAGTGATAAAAGTGGAGGAAAGCAGAATAATCTGACTTTCTTCTTTCGTTTTGAGAATGGTGTTTAAATAGAAGAAGTAATTTCTCCCTCTCATCCTGCAGCTGTCTTTGTGCACCTGGACTATCATGGACTGGATGGAGTGTGCAGGGAACTGAGGAAGTGCAAGGACTTAGTTTCATGTTTTGAAATTGCAGCACACTGATATCCTCTTGGGAAGGATGTTAACTTTATTCTGCTGTTAATTAGATGGTATTTTTACCCACTATTACAAGCAGCATCTGCTAGGTTATAGAGACATCATTCTAAGTATTTATGAGAAAGGTTCAGTGTCCTGTGCACAGGTAGTCAAGCTTGCTGTATTTGTGCATCTTTCATAGAGCAGCAAGGGACTTGGAAATACTTGTAAAATAGAGGAAGAAAAAAAAATTTAACCATATGGAGATTTAGATGTTATAATTCCTGAATGGTTTTTATTACTGATTTTCACATCACTTTGTCCCTTTAAAATTTAAAATTTGTCCCTTTAAAATCATCCAAGGTGAGGAAGATGGGAATTGTGTTTGGCAATAGAGATGTATTTTGGTAGGGGCATGTTTTATGCTGTCATCATGAAATGACTGATATTTTGTTGCTTTGGATACTGTTTGCTGTGAGCCTATAAAAGTGTTTTCTCCTTTTTTTTCTTTCTCAGCCCACAAGACGATCAGCAAGATTGTCAGCTGTAAGTATGTGTAACAGCTCTTGGTATATACTTTTCTAGGCACATATGGTTTCTCAGACCAAACAGGTTTGTTATATTTTGCTTGATTCAGTTTTTATTCTTGCCGACAGATGTTTAAGAACTCTAGAGCTAAAGTTATCTGTGTTTTCTTGGTTTCAGGTTTTCAGGTTTCAGGTTGTTCTGACAAAAGATGTATTTCCCCACCTCAGTGCAACACTGTCTGTTACGTGCAGTATGACTTCGTATCGTTTTACAGGCTGATGTTAGTTGTGGAAATGCAGCTACGTCTCTGGGAAGGAGAAAGAGCAGTCCTTTAAGGACTTAATTTGATGCCACTACTAGTATTGGGTTTTAGTTCCTCTTCTCTGTTAGAACATATCTTTTTTTTTTTTTTTAAATTTTTTTTTTTGTAGTGACTACTAATCTCCACATTTTACTCTTAGAATGACCCCCAAATTGCTTTGACTGCTAGATGAGTGAGCTAATGAAAATGGGTGTGTATAGTGATGAGGTGCATTTTTGTGCATTAAGGTTTTTCAGTCTTTTTCCTAGATGCATACTAATGAGCAGGAAGTAAGGGAAGGTGTGGGGTGGGGGGAAGCTGGGGTGTGGAGGTGGCTGCCTGGATTCTGGTAATGTCTAACACATTGTGCAACTAAAAATGTTTTATAGAAACCTGCTCCGCCAAAACCTGAACCCAAACCAAGGAAAACCACGAAGGTAAATACTCTTCTTTTTAGTTGCCATCACTGTAGCCAATAGTAAGCAAGTATACGTTTTCTTTGCATTGCAAACAGTTCAATTCACAGCGTTTTTGTGAGGCATCGGCTCCCCTGCCCTCCCTGCAGCTCCCTGCTGCTGCTCCCCCCCCCCGGAAGAAAAACAAATTAGATCATTCTTTTCTTTCTGTTCCACCCCTTCCTGGCCTCATTACTGGCCCAAACAAAACGTCTTGCCTGTTTGATATGCAGACCATGTTAGTTTGTAGTGAATTCCTAGTTTAAGAAGAATATTTACCTTTCCTATACCTTTCCTGAAATGTACAGGTTTGGTTGAGTAAGGTCTACCTGAGACCTAGCAATTTCTACAGTAGGATTTGAGATCACTCTGTCTGTGCCATCGTGTTGCCTTGTCTAGAAGGGCAGTACTTCATTTCATAGTGAGAAACTCTTATCTGTTCTTGAAGCCTGGCTGTTGCTGAGAATGCACAAGTATAATTAAAGGTGAAATTAAATATATTTAAATTGAATGGTTTGGGTTTTCTAGGCCAGTTACAGTCAAATTAAAATCTTATTAGTGTCTGAAATACCTTTTCAGGATTTCTGCATATAAATCACGTACTTCAGAAACTGTAGATTTATTTGTGCCCAAGAGCAATGTTAAACAAGAGCAATTGCTTCATTGGAAAAAAAACATGCTGGAAACTGAGTCTAGCACTCCTCACGCTTAAATTTTTCAAGTCCTTTTATTGGTATCTCAGTTGGGCAAGTATCAGGATACAAAGTCCATGTGTAAAAGTAAAACTCTATGACTTTGAACATGATTTATCAAATGAAATTACCAATAAAGTCTTGCTGAGTCCATCCTGCTCCCCTCCTAAAAACAGTATTAATAAAGAAGGGAATATGGTAGCTTCTATAGCTTCGTGTACATGTTGTGAAATGAGCTAGGTGTTATGGAGTCAGTCTAAACTGCTCATTTCGGGCGACTTGAATCCTTTACAACTTTATTCTAAGTAACTTTTTAATACAGTAATCTGCTTTTTTCAAAACTCTTAACTGGATCACATTTTAAAGAGTATGTTAATCTTGGTCTCCTAAACAGAAAACAGCAAGTGTGTGCTCTGAACCTGCTAGTAAAAAACCAAAGATGGTATGGATTTGAGAGAATTTTTAGTGTTAAGAGCTTGCAGATCATGGATTTACTAAGTCAAGTCCTTAGCTTGTTCTTTCGTAGGTGCAGAGTTAGGGCTATACTCACACCACCAATAAGGGTCTCAGTTAAGCACCACAACTGCTGTGTAATGCTGAAGCTGAAGTGTGAAAGGAGTAATTCAGGCTGCCCTGGAACTAGGATTACTGGCACTCCCTCCTCACTGCCCCACTCCTGTATTGGGGATCCCTGGGGAAAGGTAGTTAAGGAAGGGAGACTGACCTTAATATCCCTGTTCACAGCTACTGTTGCCATTTTGCATGGAGAATTTGGAGCAAATGATCAACATGGAAGATCTCCACAGTGTTTATCAGAACTACTTTAAATACTAATGTAAAATAGTCAGTTAAATACCAATTAAATATTTATCCCATTGCCCTTAAAATCCTTAACCTATGTCTCTACTAGTCTTAGATGATAAATATAAATATGTACATAGAGCAAAGATTAAAAAAAAAGTAGATTTCAACATAGGAATTGTTTAAGAGCAAATCTCCAAATGAAACTGTAGCTGTTAGCATAGTTCCTTTTGATAAATTCTCTGCTTTGTGTTGCTGCAGATGGAATTTTATCAGTGTTTGCCTCCCCTGTGGATTGGTTGGTTCTTTCATTGACATGGAATGAGCATCACATGTTATCAAACTAACAAAAGGACAGCCAACAAAAATGCTTAATTTTTTAAATTAATTTAATATTTCATGTTAATTGAAAGTGTGGTGCTGTTACACAAACTGTGGTGTTTGTGCTTGGCTGAATAAGCTTTCAATATACTGTAACTGGATTTGTTCATACAGATATCTTGTATATACCTCTGTATAATGCAGCTCAGCTCTACCAAAGTAGTTTGAGGGGGTTTTGTATCCCTGTAAATTAGCAGAAACAATAAAGAAGCAGACATCAGCATTTTCTAGAAATTTTGAGAGTCTCTATATGACTGTTGTGGATATACATTTTTCCAGGTAGTCTTTAGCTGGTTTTCTGTCTCAGTCCAGCACGTGCAGCTTGCCAAGATTTGCTTTTCAGTTCATATGAAGGTTTTTGGGTGAAGATGTAGGGTGCTGGCTACTCATACAATGTCTATGCCCATGTTTTTAATCTTCTGTCAGAAGGAACCTGGGACAAAGGCCAACAAAGGTGCTAAAGGGAAGAAGGATGAAAAGCAAGAAGCTGCAAAGGAAGGTACTACACCATCTGAAAATGGTGACAATAAAGCTGAAGAGGTACTTTCCACACATACCTCCTGCTGATTGAATCAGTGTTTTTTTTAATTATTCAGCCTTTCAGACATTGATAGCATGTTCATAATGTTTCTTTTTATTGCCCATAATGTTATTGCAGATTCGCATCTCTCGCTCAACTGTTAGTGTTTCAACATCCAGAGGTGCCCCACCCAGCACACTGTCAGTAAAAGGGCAGATTGAAACAGTGAAAGTTAAGGGTACGGTAGAGCATTCAGCATGTGTGCAGTGAATAGAAACAGATAGTAGTGTGGTGCTTTTCAGTGTGAACAATGGAAGCTGACAGGTAAGGCTTGTATTGCTTTTGAAAAGCTGGGACCGATAATTTAAGAGAAGTGTGTGAATGTACCTGTTTTGTTTGTGTAAATGTAATATGGACATAGGTTTGAAACTGAGCTGTTGCAAATAAGAAGTCGAAGGAGTAAGGGTAGTTGGGGTGTTTAGGTATGTAATGGCAATTTACTATAGTAATTAATTTATTTCTTTCTTCTCCGCAGGCTCAGAAAACTGAATCTGTAGGTGACAAGAATGAATGAAATATCATGAAAATTTTGGGTTGATTTTATGTACCTCTTGGACAACTTTTAAAAGATATTTTTATCAAGTATTTTGTAAATGCTAATTTTTTTAGGACTATGATAGTTGACATATTAAACTGTATATGAACATTTCCCTTCTCATAACAGTGCTTTTAGAAATTCCCATTGTTGCCAAGTAATATAAATATCAACTTAATATTGCAAGGTATGTGTAAAATTGGATCAGCATTCCATACACTTGCTTTAAGAAATTAAGTCTTGTGCATATGGTGATGTTTTTACTGTGCGTATTTGAATTTTTCATGCAGTTTTTCTAGAGCAATAATCAGTGGTGCTTTTGTACTTAGGGTTTATGTGATTTTAATGAAACATGGATAGATGTGGCCACCTGCTGACTATTTTGGGTTCTTTTAATGGATTAAAATAAAAGGTCTCCTTGCCTGCAAAACTACAGCCTCCTAATGTTTTCTCTAGATCTGAGGAATGCCTTACTCATATTTTCAACTGTTACAAGGAAGACTAAATGATTTGGCAACAATTGTTTTGCATGCAGTCTGTTTGCTTTTTTGCTGATGTCTGATTACAAAATACCCACACAGGAGTAGGAGGCTGGGATTTTCTGTGGCCCACAACTTAAGGGACTTATAGATACATTCTTCATAGATACATTCTTCAGATATGCTGTCACAGGGTGAGTAGAGTTGCCATACTCTATCAGGATATTGTGTCTGTAATGAGCTATCAATACAGAATGAATTGCTTGATTGATAGGGGCGTACAGTAACTTAAAAGTAGCTTTGTTTCTCCCCCACGCTCTTTTCATTCGTTTGCATCGTACTCTGTGGAAACCTTTCTTTCTATCTGCAGCCTCAAATTTAATATAAATAGTAATTGCTGTTCTGCTTCAGCTGAGGACAGTTGTTAATACATTGAAATCGCTGTTAAACAGCGCTATATATTTGGTACCTGGTAGAAATGGAACAATGAAAGTTATTTTTGAGGTGATTGTGGTGATATGGTAGATTAGCTAATGATTTTTTTAGTGTCCATGTTTCAATTCTGCAGCTCATTCTAAGCACCTTTTATAATTTTTCTCCTTCTCTTTTCTCTAGGGGCCCTGGTATTTCTATTGTTACTTCTGGGATGGGAGGGGTGAGAGAAAAGATGTTCCCTGTTCTTCAGTAACATTGATTTGTATTGCTCAAGTGGTGGCCATTATGTCTGAGGATATCTTTTGCTTGTTTAAGTCAATAAATAAATGACTGTTGCCTGACCTAGCGTTCCATTTATTCTTTGGGAAGAAATCTCCAGTTGCCTTTTTTAATTAAAACGGAAAAGAAGCCAAGCTTCTCTATACTTCAAAATTGAAGATTGATCACCGAAACCCTATATGCTAACTAGAGCAGTAGTTAAGACCTTCATTGAGATGAATGCCACCTGTGCTCTTGTGATAGGCTTGCTACAGCCAAATAAGAGGAAGCTGTTCTCTGCATCATGAACTTAGTTTTGGAGGAAAATTTAAACTAATTCTCTGCTTTTGGTGATGGAAGGCAGAGGGCTGTAACAAAACTTGTAGCCTAATGAGAAGGAAAGTCCATATTGTTATTCGGTGATAGGTACTTTGTAGTTCTGCACAGTACTTCTGATTTGCTTTCTGATGGACCCTGTTGAAAGTCTGTTAATCTAGACACTACAGTCATGGGAAGTTTAACAGTCTGAACTTCTTCACAGAATCATCAGTGCTGTTCCTAAGCATTTGTCGATTTACAGGTTTATCGTTCCTGTGAGGAGGGGTTTTCTATACTCTCATCATTTTGTGTGGATAACTGAGAGATTAGTTGCCTAATCCTATCTAGACAGTTGGAGTTCTTGAAATGACCCTTTTAACGTAGATTTAACTTGGGCACGGGCATCACAAGACACTGCCACATCTTTGGACAGGCTTATTTTAAGTGAGCTCCTTTTAATAAATGCCTAAAAGGTGGGCAGAAGTTGGGTCCTTAAACACAGTATCCTAACCTAGTAATTTTGGCACAAAATTATTCTGTTGGCTTGACCAGATTACGAGATTCAGCTCAGTGCCAGAACTCTGTTAGAAGGATTTAACAACAGAAAATCCACTTGCGTGAAGTTTAGTGAAACACACTATCCTGCTGATTTCACTTAACATTTCTGGTTTTTCAGAAGTACTTTGTAAATGTGATGCTTTCCTATCTTTTTTCCTCTATGTGTCAAGTTTTCAGAAAAACTTACAAAGCACTGTATCAAGTTCTAGAACACATTTTTTAAAATTAGAATGGTTGCACATTCAAACATATGTAGCTAGAGTCTTCGTGGGCAGCTGGTGATCTGCAGAGCACCTTCAGGAAGTATGTAAGTATTTTAGTTTTGAAGTGGCACTTGAAAGTGCCAGGTGCTGCATCTCAGCCATGAAGAAACTTGCATCATCAGTATTTAATGACTAGCTGCTTCACACTTGAACACAAGGTTTGGAGGGATCCCTGAAAGTGGTATTTGCCCTTTGTGGGATGTAACAGATGGATAGTTCAAGGTACATTTAATTTAAAAAAAAATTGGGAAGGATGGATTGTTTTTAAGTCTAAGGAGGGCAGGTACATCAGAAACAAGACAATGAATGATCAAAAAAAAGTCATTTGAGTAGTTAAAGGTCCACCTTCCCTTAGTTTTATATAATTCCTCTCGGTTGTGACTTTCTGCTGCTTCCCTATCCTTAACTGACCTTGGGCTAACTGGACATGTCAGCACAAGGTTACACTTGGTATTTTGTCTCTTCTAAATGGCAAAGGCAGCTTTTTCTGAATGGAGAACTGTGCAGATGAGATGCAAGCATTTAATGGGAATGCCAATGGAAAGTTAATCTTTATGCTAAACAGCAGTGAAAATTAAGTTGTTTTGCTACGTTTTGCTCAACTCTCAAAAGTTTGAGAGTTATGTGTTCATAACTGCAAAAAAAAAAAAGTAGGGAAGGGAGAAGGAATAGCAAGAAAATAAAGATCCTGTATTAGAATAAATGACATGTATATGTAAGAGTTTAATTTCTAGTGGAACAGGAAAAGGGTTTTTTGTATGCTCAGTTCTGTGTTTTGTTTGGGTTTTTTTAATGTAGTTTTAGAAGGGGAAAATAAGGTCACTTAAATGTTCAAGGGAGAACATGGTTTAAAATAAAGCAGTTCTACAATCCCAAGGTGTACATCATGATACCAAGCCTCAACAGCCACAATGTTGATTAAATTTCTACTGAAATTATACAAAATTTATAGAACTCTAAAGAGATTATACAACTGAGAAGCAAGTGGCCATTCTGTATTCTGTAAAGGTAAGGTGTCATCAGATGAGAAAGAGCAAAATAATCTGAAATGTGAAGGAGTCTGTGTCTCTTCTGAATAAATTGCTTTTGACCCGGCTGCCGTACTGGACCTGTATTTTCACTTGTGTCATTGTACCTGTAATACTGCTGGGCAGCTGACTGGTATCAGATTTAAAGCGACAATTTAGCCCACTATGTCAATTTACATTAAATAACTCGGTAAGCTTCTATATCTGAATCAAAGCACAAAAAGATACAGGAGACTGTCTAGAAACCTGTGGCAAGAACTCTGTCATCCTCCTAGCTGAAGGTTTATTATCATTCTTTTATTTGTAGGAAGACTTGAAGAATACTTTCACTGCTGGTTAAATTGCTGCATACATAACAGTCCGGAGATGCACTAGAATGTTCAGTGCCAGTATTTTTTTGTAAAGGCAAGAATTTTCTACTGCTGTTCTCCATAATAAACATACTTTTTGCTTTATTCAGAAATTCTGAACTTACTATAAAGCTGTTACTTGGCTAGATATTGCCAAATTGCCACCAGTTGCCTTCTATAGTGTCCAATTCTGCATTTATAATAAATCAGAATGAAATAATTATGGCTTTCCTATAGAGAATGGACAAGATGAGAAGTAAGTATTTTGATATATTACTCCCTTTGTGATGAACCATAGTATTAGCAACAAAGTCGTTCATATGTACCAAGCATACAACAAGTGTTTGGTAGTACAGCAAAATACTCTCCTCTTGTAAGCACCTTCGAAAGTGCCTATAAATGAGTTCTGGTGAAAAATGACATTTCAAATTTGTCTATTGATACTAATTAGTCTTGGGTTTTTTCCAGATGTGAATGGAAAAGGATATTTGCATACCTGCTAAGATAAGGATAAAGATAGTAATTTAAATTCATGCTCAAAAAAAGAAATGTGAGTGCATGAGGCCGTTGTGCTTAATTTTAGTACTGCATTTAAGTTACAGTAGTATAACTTGTAGGAATTTTTATCACTGTTTTGATTCTTACTCAGAAGCAAATTTCAGACTAGGGGCCCATAAAAACTGAATTTGTATTGGACCATTTCAGGTACTAAGCTGTCTGATACGAATCTTCTAATAATGAACAATTTAATGGAAAGCAGTATAATTTAAGATGACAATGGAGTGACTGGAAGTAGCACTCTTGTCAAAGTCCTCAGTCTGTTTCTAAAATGAATGTGAAATGTTACTGTAGTTCCTCACAAAATAAAGGTTGTAGAATGAGAACTTTTGCCTTATCCTGGGACTAAGCTGGAAGGCCATTCTAAGCTTTCTTTAGAAATATCAGAATAAAATATCCTAAGGGTCTGATTTCTGAAAATCAAACCTCCTAATTTCTGATGTTATATATATATTGGGAATATTCTGTAAGAAGGTGGAAGTTGTGAACTCTTAACATGAAGGGATTCATAACCATTGGAGAGAAAGAAACCGATGTATGTACGTCAGCTGCATCTAGAAGAATTGAGAATAAGAACGTGAGCGTCCGGAGAATTTCCGTGATTCTGTTCAGAGTCACGTTAGGGATGGTTGCGTGGAATTCCCAGGGGGGAGGAGAGCTGCTGCTGTGGCCGCTGCGGGTTGTCCTGGGGTGAGGTTGGAACCAGGTTCCCTCCCGGATGGATGTGGGGGAGGAGACGCGCGAAGACGCTGCAGCGATCGCACAGCAATGTTGTTTTGTGGCAGATAAGCTGGGGGGGGGAAGAAGTCTGACCCTGTAATCTGGTGGGTGGGTGCGGAGGAAGAGATCTCGCACAACACGGGAGAAACATTTTTCTAGGAAGAGGTACGAAACGCAGCAGAATTCTTTGCATGTGTAAGCGAGTCTCAAATGTCACTGGATGTTATTTTTTTTTCCCTCTCAGGTCTTTTATCAACAATCCAGTTATAGAGGGTACTTTATTTTTATTGTTTCCTCTGGGATATAATTCTGGTAAATCCTGTAACTTTAACAATTTTTTCTACTTCTTGAGGGCATTTTTACACTTAAGTATCATTTGTGTATCGGTGCCAAATTTCCACCTGTAGGATAACTACTAGTTGTGTTGATGAACTTCTGGAGTTTTTTAGGAAGCTTTGCCTGTTTCACCTGCCAAGGGAACTAGGTATGTGAAACTCTAAGGTAATTCAAAGCGCCCAGAACCTGTTTATTAAAGTTTACCACATTGTATTACACAGATTTATGAATGCATTATACTCAATTTGAAAACAGGTTTTGTGAGTCTCCAGCCAAGCCTGGCATTCGTGGTGAGAGGGTTCAGTGAGTTCAGGCTCCCTTCCAAAGCCAGCGGGAGAGCATCCTCCACGATGTGAATGAAAGTCCACGGCAACGTTTCACCTCATCTTAAAATGAGGATAGAAGATAAAAATTTCGATGCCCTTTTTTGGCTTGGAGGTGATCATACAGGATAAGCAGTCTGTCTGGCATCGAGATGCTACTGAGAAGTCTGCGACCTGCAGACTTCTGGTATCTCCAGAGATACCAGCCTCTGGGGTGAGACGGAGGATTGCGAAGAAAGATGGAGAGCCAGGAGAAGGACTCGTGAGCTTCGCACCTCTGCCGCTACCCTGAGGCTTCTTTATAGAGTGGCCGTGCACCAGATGAGGTTTGCTTGGCCTCGGCAGCCAGAGGTGAGGTGTGGGCCACGAATTCCCGACGTGCGCGTAGCGGTGTGCCTCTGAGGGAGCGATGTGTCTGCTGCCGATGTTCTGGTGCCAACAGCAGGGAGAGGGCACGCTTCCCAGAGGTTGCGCAAGGATAGATTTGGTTGGGACTTTTTTGGCAGCTGGTTCCGTTAAATGACCACAGTGAGTCAGAAAGCTGGCAATAATTATTTGAAGATGGTGGATGTGGATGGATAATGTTAATAGGAATTAATTACAAGCGACGGTTAGTTCTCTGGTAGTAG